CGGAGGAGGCAAAAGTATTCTTTATCCAAAAACTTCCCAGCGAGCAATGAAAATTAATGGCAAATGAGAAACGGAGAGTGACTGGGTAGAAACAGCGCCCAAGAAGAGAGAAATTCCTCTCCTCTCAATTGCTCCTTTGACCGCGCGCGTATTACCGTTTAATATGATGGGCAAATGTTGCGGAAATCACGGGGTGAATCGATAAAAAAAATACCACCCGCCGCCCATTAATTGAATAAATAGAGGCCACCCTGGCGGGGGTGAATGGAAAAGCTTTCGTCAGTCAGCGTGCTGTAGAAGGAGGCGAAAAAGTGATTTACCTTTGCGATACAGCACAAATTGTCCATCACTGTGACTGTGGCTCAACATAGGACTCCTGCAGCGCGATGGAGGTGCCGAAAGTGCCAAAGGAGCTCCCCATGGACCAGAAGGATCCACTTTGATTGCAAATTTGCTCCTTCTCCTGCGATGTCTCCGCCCCAGACGCTCAATCGTCTTCTCCTCCTCACAGTATTCCTCCGTCATTCAAATCACACTTGCTTCTTCTCCTCACTGAATAACATTTTTTTGCCAGACAAGGAGTAAGGGTTGTTTTTCCTTTCACTTACAAAGTATATCACTTTATCTGCACCACACGCATCACATCAAAAAGAAATTCCCTCCGCAAATCCTTAATAGATAAATTGCCTTCACACAGAAGCACACGATATAAATTCAACACCATGAAATACAACATGTTCTCCTTGGATCCTATTATGTGGCGAGGAATTGAATGAATTAAATTGAATTACTTAACACACCACAAAACAATTTAATTTATTCCAATGACACACATCGAATCCTTCAGGCGAGGCTCAACATGTTGGGCCATCATAGATATGGTTGCAAGACATCCAGAGGCAATTTACATTTCTTACTCACGTCTTCAATGAAATGCGGTGTAATAAAATAAAATATCGAATCAGCTGCATTCCCATTTTCCCTTCCTTTCTTCTCAGGGTGTTTTCCACTGAAAAGAATCCCTCTGAAAGTTGCACCATTTATTGTTTGTCAGCAACACAGTGCAATAGTGATGCTTTGCAGTCGATTTATGAATTTAGGAGAAAAAAAATCAAGAACTCCTTAAAAAACTTTTTAGTTTTCCCCGCAACAATATCAAGACATAATGTGATGTTTTGCAGAGCTTTCTGAACTTTGGAGATTCTCAATGTATTAAAAACGACGCTACTGTCTCAACTTCATTTATACTGCACTCGGTTGACCCACTTTAGAAGGACCTCCCTCGCCATTCAGCTGAGACTTGCAGCCAGTCGAGATAAAAGATATAAAAAACGACTTTAATCATGCTTACATGTGCACAATTTCTTAAAGAATTTACCCAAAAAAAAGCCATGAGTTTGCCAATCTAGATAGGAAAGTGTCGATTTATTCTTATTACGGAAAATCCCACGTTGGAAAATTCAATTATTGAAAAGAAATAGAATCTAAATTCCCTTTTTTTGGAATGCTTCATCTGAGCTTTAACGTCCCACTGTCATCATTCACATTTTAATCCTTGTGATTCTGCACCCTTGAGATTTCACGAGAGTTTCACACTTTAACCGGATTTACCGCCAATACCCACTTGGCTCAGCAATCAGACTCAAAGTTGCGCGGGTTAGATTAAGCGTTGGGAGAATGGAAATAAATTAGGGAATTAAAAACCTAATGACATGCTCACAGTGGAATTCAGCGTGGCAGTAAATCTTTCGATTTAAAGCGGGAAATCCTACCCTTCAGCATTTTATACATTGTGTATTGAAGGACACAATATCTTGGGCTCCTGCTTTAAGATTCAGAGCAGCAATTTAAGATTTTTTCCTTCCTCTCCTTTAGCTGCCATTCGAAAAACCCTCCCATAAATCAGGCAACAGAAAGAGAGAAAAAAGAGGAATAAGAGAATAAGAAACATTGGTGAGAAGAGTGAAAATACCAGCCAGAAAACACCACACAAACCACAATCTTTCTCCTGAAATGATGATGATGATGGGGCGGATTACGTAATCCGCTTAGAATATTATAAAACTTCATTCCCATGTCCACCAGAATGCCACTTTATACTTCTTCTCTTGGTACATGTTTCACAGCGAACGCGAGAGAGAAAACATGAAACATATTAAGAGAAGCATGGATTCTGCAAAAGATTCCTTTTCCTCAACATTTACTCCATTACGCGTCCCTTCCTTCCCTGCCAATTCCTCCTGCAAACACACAAACTCACGATTCCTCCTGAATCCTTCCAACCATATCGCAAATATTATAGAGCATAAAGATGCGAGAAGAAATTCTTATGAAAAGATTATCACGTCATTTTTTTCTTCTTTCCCTTCAATACTTTAACATTCATGGCAAATCTTTCCACCAATTTCTCTTTTATATCACAGGAAATTTACAATTTCACACGTCAAGGGAGGTACTTAAGTCACACTTTCACTGAGGATTTTTGTCACGAGATTCTCTCGATCCATGGATTTTTTTTTTCTTTAACACAAACACAAACTCTGGTTTGATCTGAACAGGAAGAATGCCAAGACTGAACTGCGTAGCGAAACGAAGCAGGATATAAGGTCGCGCCAGTGTGGAATTCGTTCCAAAATATACCCCAAATGAGAGACTTTCGCCAAAGGACACAGCGAAGAGAGAGAGGAGAGAGATTGAGAGAACATTTTTGGGGCTTCTGGCGAATCTCATGGACCGGCAAAGTTTCAGCTGCAACACGAGAAAGGCTTCTGTTACGGCACAATACCTTGCAAAGGGCTGAGATTCTATCGAAAGTCACTCGACGATACTGTGAAAGCTCTGAGCTTTTCCAAGAATGTGTATTAATTAGCTTTCCTGGTAAATTTATTGCTATTTCGGTCGTATTTCTACATATTTTCTCACAATTTCTGTACTGAAAATAGACTTTGGAAGTATATTTTGTCTACGAATTGAGACGAAAATATCGCTAATCAATCACAGACACTATGTTTATTAGCAATATCTGTGAATTCTTCTTGAAATACCCAGAAAATCACGAGCAGAGTGAATTCTCCGATTTCTCGAAATAAACTCTTACGCGACCTTTAGGAAAATGTTCAGTATTCCAAGAGAACCTTCACATCTTCGAGATCCTGAGCAACAACAAAAAAAAACTCCTCCGAAAGACCAATTTAAGGATAACAAATGGACTTTGCGAGAAAAGTCTTTTGCGCTAAAGTGTCTCTCTTTTGGAGCATCACTGGCACGCCCCAACCCTCGTCGTGGAGTCGACAATGGCATTTCAGGGGTGGCCAGAGCACGACCTTGACTGTCTTACGCCCTCCTTAAAATCCTCTCAGCCTCGGCGCCACACATGTGACCGAGAATTATTCAAAATCACCCGAGATGTAATGGATTGAGAAATTTGGGCGGCATTTCTCCTGCACGCTCGACAGTGTTTTGAGGGTCAAGTGAGAGGCTATTATTGAGACATCCTTTCGCACGCCTTGTTTCAAGCGCTCAGAAGTGAGAATGCCAAAAAGGGTTGAGAACGGGTGAAAATGGGGAGTAAATTTTGGACTTACCTTCTTCATTTTCCGCACTTTCATCAATCTGCATCGCTTTTTCCCCTCCATCTGAATCCTTCTTCTCACACTCAAGCGAAAACGCACTGGAATCTGGAAGAGAGCACGAGAAAATAGGCTCCAAGTCATGAGAGAGTCACAAGAATTGTGTATTTCCAGTTAATGAACTAAAGGAAAATTAAAATTAAAAGAGATCTTGAATTATGCTGCCTGAATGCTGGCCAATCGCTGACATGACTCTGCGAGATTTCTCCGTGCGTTTCTGGGCAGAAGCTTGAAGATTTGCCCAAAGACAATGTGAGGCATGCTAAAGAGTGATGGATACGGGGCGACAGTGGCGTGATTTTGCATGAAAACATCCCTTGCCGGAATTATGAGCTTGTTCTTCGCCTTCAGAGACAATTCTTGGAGATTCCTGAAGCTCCTGTGAACACTCTGTTGATTTATCATTGGAACGTAGCGCGAGATGGAGAGAGAAATGCTGAAGCCCGAGTGAAATCTCGGCGTGAACGTGGCACAGAGTGAATCGGCTATTCTCTGTGTGATCAGCGTGAAGTCCTCATCGTAGTTCAGCAGGCGGAATCGTCGCTCTTGAAAGCTTCCGGACTGTATCAGCCACTCAATTGGCACACTGTTGGCCAATTTCCGGGCCCTTGAGCAATTGTAGAAGCCCCCAAAGGCCTCCCTGACCGCCGGAGCAGTGTCTGTGTGATGCGAGAAGCCACACTCTGCCATGAGGAGATAGAGAAGAGTCACAAGGAGGTTTTCCGGTGTCAGGAAGCCTCTTGGGACACGCTCCAAAAGGATTTTCATGTGCTGAGGCATCAAATTGAGCGTCGCCTCCTCCACCAAATACACTTCATCGCTTCCTCTATGCTCCCTCTGATCCGCTGCAAAACAATAGGCATCCTTTTATGTCCCGGAAAGCATTATGGGGAGGACACACAGAGCAGGTGAGAAACATTGACAGCCAATTGTGAGGTTAGATCGAACTCCATACCGTTTAGCATGCAAATATGTATGATTTCCATACCAGTCTCCTCACCTGGTGACTCCCCAGCATCTCCTGCTGCATCACCGCGAGTGATATCCTCACTTTCCTGGCCAGGAGACTCCTTCACAGCCGACGCCATAGAGCAAAAGCCACCCACACAACACACTCAACTTTCACACCGAAAATCACAGCTGTGTCTGGTCAGAAAACCAGCATTAACACGTGAAATGCTTCGTCCACTCACTGTGCAGTACCTGGACAGGTAGAAACACTGATTATCACAAGAATTACATGGAATTTTGACCCAGAAAAGCCTGTTGCATTTTTGTCGGTCTTCACATTCAACAAGTCATGCGACAGAGCCTCTGGTGGACAGCACGCGAATCGCAGATAAACCAAAATTCAACGAGTTTCCACCAGAAATTTCAAGATTTATTATCAAGATTATAAAATAGATAGTACTAACAATTCAAGAAGCAAAGTGATAAGATAATGTGGGCAAGTACAAAAATTTTGTCAAGCGAATAATACTCTCAAACAGCAAAACTCTTCACTCTCTTCAGCGATCCGGAAGAGGAAGTCTGCGGCGAGGAGGACGCCGTGCTGATGGTGGTGAGAGTGTCGAGAGAGCCAGTAAGAACTTCCCCCAGAGCCTTTCCACCATCCACCAGAACCATCTTCTGCTCCTCCGTGTCATTCTCCGTCGCGAGCACATAAACTCCCAACTTTCCGGCACTGCTGAGGATCTTCGGTCGTGGCAATGCAATGAATGATCTCGGATCATCAGTCATCTCCGCCTGAGCACTGTCCTCCACGTCGAAGGCATCTCTTGGCAAGCAGCGACGAATGCGAATCACCTGAATCATGTTGTAGTGCGTCACGAACAAGATGCCATTGCGGAAGGAGAATCCTGTGGGTGTGTATGTCCAGGAGATGTTTCCCGGACGACTGCGACATCCGTACTCATCGGTGAACACGCCGTACTCGCTGAAGCACAGCAGAAACTCACCCTCAGTGATCTGGAAGGCTGCCATGGGCTGCCACGAGCGACTGGACGCGAGGCTGGCATCCGACAAGTCCACAAACTCCTCCGCCGTCAGGCTGTCCAGGTCAATCTCGAAGAACTTGTCTGAGCTCACGATGGCCGTGTGCCGTGTGAACAGGACGCCAGTCACGGGAGTAGCCGTGTCCAAAGTGCGCGTGGGTCTGAACTTTCCAATGCCCGTGTCGAAACGCATGATGAGAATGCGCGAAGTCGTCGCGGCGATCACGATCGCCTCGTCCAGACGCTCATTCTCCCCGCGGATGCGCGCAAAGTGCCAGCGTTCGTTGCTCTGACGATTGGCAAAGGGTAAATTGAGCACAGACACTTCCAGTTTCTCCGCCTGCGGCTGCTGCAATCCCGGCAAACGACGTCCGCGCGCCAAGAGATGCCTCAAATCGCACTGATAGAGATGCTCTCCGCCATTCCCGATGAGAATCACCTTGGCCAGAGTCGGTGTGATGGCGATATAATTCACACAATCCAGTCCTTCGATGGGAATCAACTGCTGACTCTCTTGCAGATGCAGAGAATAAAGTCCAGTCTCACAACCCAGAAGAATTGTCTCATCATTCACCTCATAGATGCAATGCACGAGAACTGGAGGAGACAAATCCGTGGGCTTGAACAACAACTCCCCGCGATAAGAGTCTCCAGTCGTTGTCTCGTAGACATCCCGTTCAGTGGGTCTGGCATCCACCTCATCAATCGCCTCCAGAGGTGGCAAAATCGACTCTCCGTCGCAGGACGAAGTGACTTTTCCTCTGCACTTCCTGTGCACAGTGCAGCGACACACGCGACAGCGCCAGAAGGTGTTGCTGGTCATCACCGGATCATGGCACACGATGCAATTCACACCAGGCTCATCCGTGCCCTCCATCGTCATCTCCAGATGATGCATCCTGTACGAGCGCTTCCCGCTCGAGTGACGCGACAGTGTCTCCTCCTCACGCTTCTGGAACTCCTTTCTCTGCTCCTTCTCGCTCTCCACATCACTGGCTTGCTTCGGTTCCTCCCAAACAGGCGCCGAAGGCTCTGAAAAAGGACACACAAATTCCAGTTTGCAGACATCAATCTCTCAAATTCACATCTCAACTCACCTTTCATTGACCGAATCTCCGTCTTTGCCTTCAGCAATTTCTCTGTCAACTGACTATTTCTATCCCTCGCCTTCTTCAACTGCTCCTGCGTTGTCTTCAGCTTCCCCGTGGTCATCGGAAGCGTCACATTTGGTGTCACATTCTCCTTTCGATGGGAATCCGAACCACCAAATAGCTTCTCCAGCAGATTCTTCTTCTTCTGCGGCAATTGTTCCACTTTTGCCTGCAGATAATCAATGAGTTTCTTGTGCTGAGCCAGAGTTGCTTCACACTTTATGTCCCGCTGAACATAGTAGTTCTTCTGCTCAGACAGAAGCCCGTTCAGATGATCAATCTCATGCTTATGCTCTGAGATCTCCATTGAGGCCTCGCTGAGTTCGTGCGCCTGGCGACTAATCTCCTCCTTGGCCATGAACAAATCCGTGAGGATCCTTGTGTTCTCCTCCTTCAGCGAGCGCACCTCATCCATGTAGCTTCTGCTGACCAACTGGAAAGGAAGAGAAGAAAAAATGACTTAATTTCATTCACTAATTTGCTGACAAATGTCTTTAAGCTCACCTGCAAATTATCCACTTCGTTCTTGGTCAACTCCAACTGCTCCTGACCATCAATGAGATTAGTCGTTGTCTCCACGAGATGCGTCTGCGCTGCTGTAAACTCCGACGACACCTTCTCCAGCTGATCTCTCGCATCCACCAGATCATTCTGACTCTGCAGCAATTTTGCCTCCACGGCGCGCTTCTCCGTCTCCAGAGTGTGAATCATTTGCTTCAGTTTCAGCGAATTCTCCTCCTTAGCACGCAATTTCGCCAACAACTCATCCATGGAAATCTTCTGGCCAGCATTTAACTTCCTCTCAGCATCCACCATTGCCTCCAGTTCCGTGAGTTGGACTTCCATCACGTTGCACGCCTCCTTCAGATAACCATACTGCATCTGGAAGTTCTCCAATTCAGCCTGAATGTCACCACGCTTGTCCTTGTTTCGCTGCGCTTCCTCGCGCTCACGACAAATCTCCTGATTGATTTTCTTATTCTCCACATTCAGCGATTTATTCTCCTGCTGAAGTGTGCAAAGTGTCCTCTTGCCATCCTCAATAATCTCCTCCAACTTCTGTATTCTCGCCATATGTTTCCCCACGAGAATCTTCTGATCCATCAACTCTCGCTCAGAAGTGCGCCAATGCTGAGTCTCCTTGTCAACTGACGCCCGCAGATGATCAATCTCCTTCTGAATGCGCTCAATCTCTCTACTCTTGCTGGCCAGCATCTCTTCGTCACTTCTCAACTTCGACTCCAGCCTGGATTTCTCCTCCCCAAGCTTCCTACACTTCTCCTCCATCAACTCTGCACGTCTGGACTGCAGCTTCGCCTCTCCCTTCAGCTCCTGATTGTCCTTCTCGAGCTTCCACATGGACAACATCGCCGTGCGTGCTTGTTGCTCAGCAACTGCCACATTCTTCGCCTTCTCCACCTCTGCCGCAATCCTACTAGCTCTCGGAGCACTTCTCCCAGTATCTGTGGACTCCAGACGAGCAATAACTGCCTCCAGACGCTGCGTCATGGCCTCCAATCCATCCGCTCGCCTCTTTTCTGCCTCAACACGCTCATTAGCACGCTCCAAATCCGTTCTCCATTGCTCCTCAACAGCCTGATGAATGTCCTGGAAGCTGCTCTTGCAGCTGCGGAAGTTGTCATCGAGATTGACGGAGGAACGATGACTCTCGGCTGTGTATTTTTCAATTTCTGCATGGAGATTCTGATTCTCCTTCTCCAGATCGTCAAACTTCACCGTCAATTCTTCCAATTGTCTCTCCAGAGTCACTTTCTGCTCTCTCATCTTCCGATTCTCCTCAATCTCCTGCGTCATGCGATCACGCAGATCAACTGACACGCGTTCAGACACTCTTCTGGCATCCTGAAGGATCGTCTGCTTAGCTTGATGACTCTCCAGATCCTTCTTGAACTCCTTGAGAGCCTTTTGCGTCTCGCGATGGGCGTTTTTCTCCTCATTCAAGCTCCTCTTCAACTCCTGAATCTTACTATCGTAAACTTCCTCCAGATTCCTCATCTTTCCCTCAGATTCCACGCGATCGCTGCTCAGTTGCTCCTTGGATTTCTTCTGCACATCTCTGTACTTCTCAATTGTGTCCAACAATTGGAAACATTCGGTCTTCTTCGCCCTCAATTCCACCTCATTGTTACTCAATTTCTCATTCAAATGCGCTATTTGAGCTGCCTTTTCCGCAATTTGCTTCTCATACGCTTGATCAGAAGTGTTTTTGATCTTTTCCCACTTCTTCTTGTTCGACCGCAAGATCTCAGTGATTGTCGTCTCATTCTTAATGCGCTGATCTTCCTCAACCTTCAGTGAACTCTTCAGCGTCTTCACCTCAGTCCTGCACGATGCCAATTCCTTCAGCTTCTCCCGCAGTTGCTCCTTCAGCGACACCACCTCAGCTCGTGCCTCCTTCAGATTCCTCTCCGCTGATCCCTTCTCAGCAATGCTCTTCTCAGCACTGATCAGTTTGTTCTGCAGCACACGAATCTCTTCGCACTGCGCCTTGCCCAGACGCGTCATTTCCTTCACTTTGGCGTCGTGATGCTTCTCTGTGGGACGCTGGAGCTCTTCTGGCACAGCCGAGGCCTCCTCATGGATGAATGAGTAGCCGATAAATGGAAGATTCTCCCCGGAAAACTCTCCATTCCTCGGCGCCGCCGAAGTGCTCTTGGTCAAGTATGTGTTTCTCCTGCTCTTCCTGTCCACATCCTCGAAATTCGACACATCATCGTCACTCTTCAGCGTCGGTATGATCGGAGGCTCTCGCTGTCGCAAGCCACTCCACATGAACTCCCTGAAGAACGGATGCTTGAGGATCCTGGCGTGCGTCAAGCGATTCTCCGGCCCTGTCAGGAGATTCTCAATGAGATGCCTGAAGGGCTCGCTAGTCTCCAAGTGTTCAGGATAAGTCAATCTCGGTCTGAATGATGATTTCTCGCAATGCGCGAGAATCTTAGCGTAAGTCTCATTGACGCTGTCGTGATGAAAAGGCGTGACTTCAGTCACCAGCTCGTATCCGATGATTCCCATCGACCAGAAGTCACAGGATGCATCGTGGATGGTTTTCTGACCCTTTCCGGCACTCGTGAGGGCTTTCAACAGCTCCGGAGCGATGTAATCTGGCGTCCCGACCGGTGATAAGCTTATAACGTTTCCGTCTTTATTGATCAGCGCCGCATTCCCAAAATCCGCCAGCTTCAGGTGACCACAGCGATCCACGAGGATGTTCTCTGGCTTCACGTCCCGATGCACGTAACCCATCTGATGCAGGGCATTGAGGCCCAGCGTGAGTTCCGCCAGATAGAATCTTGCCGTCTCCTCGTCAAATGCCCCATTGCGGATCATCAAACTGAGCAGATCTCCGCCTGGAAGATATTCCATGACCAAGTAGAGATTCCTGGCGTCCTGGAAGGCGTACTGAAGGGACGTGATCCACTCTGACGCCCTCATGGCCATGATATCTCGCTCCTCCTTCACCTGTGACGCCGTCAAGGCAGACTTGCTGATCTGCTTCATTGCGTACACATCCTTTGTGCTCTTCTCCACAACCAACTGCAAAAACACCACGCCATTAATCTCCCTCCTCACACCCTCCCACATCTGTCTATCCTTACATGAACGTCGCCAAAGTAGCCCTTCCCGATGAGACTCTTCACGGAAAAATCCTCCATGCTCACTCGAAGCAATTTTGTCTGCTCGACTACTGGTTTGTCTGCAAGGATTGCGCAAAAAACAGCCCTCTTAGTTTATTCACAAACTCTCCCTCACTCTCGTCATACTCACATTTGGTCAGAAAATCTGCCACATTGCGATCAGATCGCTTCACTTTTTCCCTGCTGCACTCGTCGAAGAGCACAATAAAGGCGTCGAGGAGCTTTTCTCGGTTGAGGCCATCCTTGGACGCCGCCTCATTTCGCCCTAAAATCTCCTTCGTGAGACGCGTGCTGCGCACACTTATCGCTTCTTTTGACACAGACATGCTTAAGCAACACTTGTGGACACTTTTCACGCAATACTGGGCATTTTCCACTGGGAAAATTGAGAAAATGTGTAAAAGCCGCGCACACACAACACAAACCAAACTTTTGAATGAGAAAGACGGTTGCACTGACAATCACCCTCAGCGCCTCTACAAACTCACCCAGTAAAACAACAACCCGGCTGTAATTCTCCTTATATTTATTCAATTACCATCTGGGCAGGACTCGCAATAAATAGCTTTGATACATTTGGGAAATGCAAGATTATTCAGATTCCTTCTCCTCCGGCTTCGACGAGGACTCCGCAGGAGGCTTCACCATCTCCACCGTCAGGTTCTTCTCACTGCCTGTGTCCTTCTCCTCCAGCGTCTCCTCGTCGGACTGATCGCTCGTCTGCACAGATTGCTCAATGCGGTAACCGTCCGAGCCGTAATTGAGAGAGCCAAATTGCCGGGAGATCTGCAGCATTTCCCTGAGTCCCTCGTTCTCCCGCACGAGCCGAATCAAGCCCTCCGTCTCCCTGTGGATCTGCTCCTCGTCCATCGACGCCGCCTTCTGCATCACAGCAGCCATTTCCAGGATCTTCTCGTTCTGCTGCTTGATAATCTCATCCTTCTGCTGCAGGAAGTTCACATCCGGCAGATCCAGCTTGTTGCTCAGCACTTTAAGCTGTGTGTGCTCCCGGTACTTGGTCATGATGTGCTCCATCGTGCGCTGATAATCCTCCAGGCACGCCTTCAGCTCGCGATTCTCCTGCTGGATTTCCCGCATGTGAGGATTCTCTCGGTTCTCCTGGTTGATGATCATCACGAGTTCCGCATTCGTGTGACCCCCTCGAGCGACCCTATTCAGCGCCTCCGTGTCGTCCTGAAGCTGCACAAGAGAAGCATTTGCCACAGAGATCTCAACGTCACCAAGAAGCGCCGGAAAACTCACCATTCTCATTGACTCGAGCTTCTTGTTCAGCACCAAACACTTGAAATACAGACTCGACGCGAACTTGCTCTGCTCATTCAGACGATTCGCCGCCAGCTTTGCGTCCATTATGATCTGTTCCAGCGTGATTGACATGATTTTGTGACTACAATTGCTACAATTTGTGGGAAAAACGCAAAATACTCCACTTCTCTCGCCCTTTTTTCTCTGACACTCTTTTGTTATTCTCCCGTCGCGCTGGCATGCCAGCAAACAGCTGGTGAGAAACTTCGAAAGCCATCTTCGAAAAATAAAGCTCAAATCACAAACGAACGCTGATGAATTGCTGCACTAAAAATTATTAATTTTTAATTTTAATTTGACTGTAGTGGAATTATTCAATAATTATCTCCTAACATTCGCGTCTTGAGAGTGCAAAATGTTGTGCTTACAGTGATTAATATAATGCGAAGCGCAATCAACCCGATAAACGATAAAGTCCGTCGTCTAAGTCTGGAAAACAGCGCAATGAGGAAAGGGGGGTGGAAATACTCTCAAAACAATCACTAGAATGCGCCGCCCCGCCGATGGTTAGACAGTTCGGTGCGCGGCGAGTCAGCGCCGGCGTGAGTATTTGGGCGAGCGGCTGCGGCTGCGGGAGCGCGAGTGGCGGCGCCGGCGACCGCGCCGCCGGGAGGAGCTGGAGCTGCTGGAGGAGCGCGAGGACGAGCGCCGGCGGCGCTGCGATGAGCGGCTAGAAGACTTGGAGCGGGACCGTTTCGCGTCCTCCTTGTCCGAGCCCCACAGGTCGTATTTGGACAGATCCCCGCCCTCGTCCTCCTCGTCGTCGTCGCTCTCGGCCGGCGGCGGCGTGCGGCGGGCCTTGCGCGGCGGCCGCTCCTTGCGTCGTCGCCGCCCGAACTCATCGTACTCGTCGTCGGATTCTGCGCGCTCCTTGTACTCTACCACGCCGCGGTCGTTGTAGCCGCCGCCGTAGCCGGTGCGCTCCTCCACGTCGCAGAACTTGGGGCTGTTGCACATGTTGCAGGTCTGGCGGCGGGCCCACTGCAAAGAGACGCCAATGCCAAGAGACAATGAGACATGCCCGCCCAGACGCCCTACAGCCGGCGTACGTTCACATTGGCACACTTGCTGCACTGCCAGTCTTCGGCGCTGAACAGCCCGCGGCTCTTCTCCGCCGCCGCCTTGCCTATCTCCGTGCCCAGCTTCTTCTTCGCCGCCCCATCCAGCGCCCGCTCGCGCTGGCAGCGGTTGCAGTGCGTGCGCCGCGCGAAGTTCAGGTTCTTACAGCTGCACGCCAGCCAGGGGAGAGAAAGCCCATCAATAAAGCTCGGCCATTGGCAAACACTGGAAAGTTTGCGATATTTTCCTTACTCCGGATCGCTGCAGATCCAGTCCATGCCCGACGACGACGAGCGCCCCTCGGCCGAGAAAGTGCTCATCTGCCCGAAACGCGCCCAAGTCGGCCCACTTTCAGCCCGTATCGCGGATTTGGGGCACTTTTTGCCAGCGAAAATGGGTTTTCTCAGGGCCCGGAAAACACAATTTATACCAAAGTGACGATTTTGCAAGAAGTGACGTTCGAACTGCAGCGAAGCAGCCGTTTGTACACAGTAAAGATAAAGATGGACTTTGCTCTGTTTGGCTGCTTGGCTAACCAGAAGAAAGGTCGCTAAAATCTCCTCAGAGATCCTCTTATCGGATATTGTGTCACCACAGTTTCCTCGTGTGCTGAGGATAAATAAATGCAAGGAAATGGAAATGAAGACCAGAAAAAGATTTGCTGATGGAGTTTGCCATCTGACAACCCCAAAAGCTGCAGATTTTCTGCACGGCCGCTAAAGCCGCTAAAAAGTGTCAACAGAAATTCCCGTGTAAATAGAAAGTGATGGACGTTCTTCAGCCAGAACTTGTTTGGATTGAAAATCGCTGCTATCGCATAAAGTCCACGAAGGAAACTCAACAATCATCGCAGCAGCGTTTGGGCTACGTTGAGGCTGGCAAGTGACGAAAATCCTTCCATGAACTTCTTATTGTGCATCTAACTTTGGCAGCTCTCAATAAATTTCCCAACAGATCTCGAGAGTGAGGAAGAAGACATCCAGATTGACTACGAGATTAACAGGACTGGCGCGAACTCCTTCAACACCTCCTTCCACGTTCCGTCGGCCTTCCATGGCAACATCATTGGTCAGAAGGGCGCCACGAGGAAGCGTCTGGAGAATGAGACGAGATCCCTGATTCAAGTGCCGCAGAGGGGAAGCCAGGGGCCAATTGTGGTCACAGCGCAGCGCGAAACGGACGTGGTGGCGGCCAGGAAGAAGATTGAGGACATTGTGGCCTCCGCGCGCCAGAGAAACGACATAACGCACTTCCTGTCCGTTCCGTGCTGCAACGACAGCGTGAAGGCGACGTTTGGGCAGTTCCGGGAGGCTGTTTTGGCAGCACTTCCCGCTGACTGTCTACCCGAGATGGTCCAGATCCCCGAGAAACTGCATATGACACTCTCAGTCATGATCCTGATGGACGACAAGGAGCGAACACTGGCCAAGGATCTTCTGCACGGAGAGCAGGATGCGATCAGGGCAATTCTGGCGGACTTTGGAGGCAAGGCAGAGGTCACAATCAGAGGTGTGGACATCATGAACGATGATCCGGAAGCCACGAAAGTTGTTTACGCGAAAGTCGAATCGGAAGCGCTGCAGAGAATTGCTGATCATCTCGATGGGGCTTTTAGGAAGAAAAGACTCGGCAAATCGAATAGGCATCAGGACAGCGTGAAGCTCCACATGACCGTGATCAATTCTGCATTTGCTGCAATTGAGCAGGAAGAGCCAAAGAAGTTTGTCCCTTTCGTCACATTCAATTCCTCGAGAATTTTGCAGGAATTCAAGGATGTCTTCTTCGGATCCTTTCCCTTGACAGAAATTCACCTGTCCCAGAGGACTAGTTTTGATGATAAGGGCTACTATAGAGCCACAACAATTCTTAGTCTCTAGAAATCTTGCTAGAAATCCATAGAAATAAAATGATTTTTGGTGCTTGGAGATTTTGGCGCGCTTTTCATCACACGTGCGGGGCTGACGAGAGCGCCGCCTATGCGACGTAATGGCAAAACTCGTTGCACAATCGCGTGTTTATGTGATTTTTCCGGGGATTTTCTCTGTTTCCCGCCCTGGAAACATGTTTAGGATAGTGAGACAGTGTCTGGTGGCCCCGACGAGGAAGATTCCTCGAGTGGCAGTGGAATCTAGTCGTGTTTTCTGTGCTTATTGCTCGAAACAGAGCTTTCGGGCTTCTGCCGGCGCCGCCGGCACTCCTTTCCTCACAGCCAGGAAGTTCTCCTCAGACTTCTCGGATGAGGAGGACGCTCCGGCTGATGGGGAGACGGAAATAGGACCAAATGAGGTGGAAACGAAGATCAGAGACATTCTGTACAACGATCCATCGAAGTTTGACGACTCGATGAGGAGACTGAAGGAGTGCTCTGCTGATGAAGACGTAACTATTCTGACCGAATCCTTGGACTCTGAATGATCTTGAGGAGCTAAAGTTGTCTCCTTGACTTTCAGATTTACGCTGAGCTGCGGAGTTTACAGAGCAATCCTCAAAGTTTGAGGTTAGAGCATCTAATTCAATCCATTCTGTCCTTATGGGATATCCTGAAGGATTCCACGCTCAGTGGAACTGACAAGTCTCCAGGCAGAACTGAGGATGTGCCTGAAATGCAGTTCCTTCTTCAGACACTCGAGCAGCTTGTGGATGATCTCTCTCCCGAGGAAATCTCCTGTTGTCTTCTCTACCTCAACAAATTGGGCCTCGAGGGTCAACCGGCGCTGATAGAGAAGCTGCTGGACAACTTCCTGCACCACTTAACCACCCACGAGCAGGACTTCCCTCTCACCGCCCTCTCGCGCTTCACGGTGTACGTGAACGCACGACGGAACCTCAGTATTTTCTCCATTTACAGCACCGTGATGCCCACCGTGATTCACTTGCTGCAGAACTGCGCCAGCAGCGAAGACATCCGCCTCCTGACCATCTGCATGTGCAACCTGTTTCACATTGTCACGCCGCATCAGATGGACATTTACAGGGAAAAGGTGGAGGAGCTGTATGAGCGCGGCATCCTCAGCAGTTCCACCATCCGAAGTGTTCTGCGCGTGGTGAATTTCCTCAACTTCATCGCCTGGTCGCACAACAACACTCTCCTCATCCGCAAGCTGCTGCTCCTGCTGCAGGACAACATCACGCGGATGGACTCTCGGGAGCTGGTGAGCCTGTGTCGTGTGTTCTACAGTAAACTCGAGCCGGCGAACTTCCTGCCCGACATTATCAGTCAATCTGAGCGCCTGATGGAGCAAACTCCCTCTGTTGATCTGCTGGAGTGCTTTGTCCTGGACATCGTGCCGGAGACGCGCAATCGTGTCGCCCAGGAGGCGGAGAAGTTCATGCAGCAGGGCGAATGTCTCACGCCGAGCGCATTTTCGGGCCTCTTCAAGGTGCTGCGCTTCCTCAAGATGTCCAACACGCGCCTCTTCAACGCCTACTGGTCGCAAGTGCTGAGGCAGATCTCTGTGGACGAGCTGGAGCAGGAGAACTATCGTCTGGCGCGGCACTGTCATCGCTATATGCACTTCAACAACAACCTCGGCGGCACTTACAGATTCCTCAGCTTCGAGCGGTGCCTCGTGAGGCTGATCATGAAGGAACTGGAGACGGGAGTGACTCGCTTCATGCCGTCCAAGTTCGCCAAAATAGCGCCCTTTGTCATGGCCTATGGACACACGGAGAGGAACCGGGAGCGACTGCCGGACTTCCTGGTGGAGCGCATCGAAGCGATGAAGGATCAGTTCTCGAGCAACGACTGCCTCAGCCTCAGCCGAGGCATCCAGATTGCGCTGGAGTTGCGCTACAAGGGCAACATTTCCCACGAGCTGGGCAGACAATTGGCGCGCATTGAGACGGTGTTCAATGTGTGCGCAGAGAAGTTCCTGGCGCAGGACATCAGCTTGGTGGATCTGAGCTCGCTGATTCGCAGCTTCAATGCCAGGCAGGCGTCCAGAACCACTGACATCTTCGACAGACTCCTGCGGCGATACGAGGACGACACATCGCAGCTGAACTCGCGCCTCATTCGCGACATCACCTTCAATCTCAACGTCTCGCGCTTCCATCTGCCCAGGATTTGCGATCGCATGCTGCGGTATCTCGTGGAGAATGAGAGATTCGTGATGGGCGACACGGCGGAGAAGGTCATCTTTTGCTGCTACAACCTCAGCCACGCGATTGACGACGAGGCGACGCTGCTCACGATCGCCAGGATCATCCGCAGGGACTTCAACTTCATGAGCGGCCTGTCCATCGTGCAGGCCTGTCTCTCGCTGTGCTTCTACAAAGCCCTGCCCGGCGACCTGGTGGATCGCGTCTTCTGCACGGACTTCATCCGGCGCATCGAGCACGAGATCCGCCTGTGCTACTCCCGCGCCACCTATCCGCAGCGCGTCTTCCACCAGGTCATGCAGCTCAACCGGGCCGTCTGCCTGGACTATCCGGAGCACAATGTGCCGTGGTTCCAGCAGAACTTCATCGAGTCCCGCGTGGCGGCCAGCAATGTGGCGCACAGCAAGTTCCACGCGGACGTGCACGAGATCCTGCACTCGCTCTCCACGTCCAAGGACGTCATCCGCGTGAATCACATCACGCCGTACGGCTACAGAGTGGACTTTGTGATGCACTTCGACCACTTGAGGCGCCTCATCCCGCCGCCCAAGGGCGATGCGCCCGCGGAAAACGTTTCAAAGTGAGTGGAAAGATCCATTTTTGTGGATAAGACATCAAATTTAGGAATTAGTGATCTAAGTAGAGGAAATTTTTGATGCTGAGCGCATTTGCGAGCAATGCGCGCATTTAAGCGAAAATCGCGCAAAATAGTTTTTCCCGCAAATGCGCGCCAAATTAGGAATCACTCACGTTTAATTCCGCCTTTTCGTCCACAGAGTGGCGCTTTTGCTGCACAAAAGGGACGTTTACTGCGAGAATTCCAACACTCTGCGCGGTCCGGAACAGATGCGCCATCGACACCTGGAGATCCTGGGCTACTGCGTGCTGCATCTGGCGCAGAGCGACTGGAACTCAATGTACCTGAGTGTGCCCGGGGCGAAGAATCGCTTCCTGCGCAACATGCTGAGAATCACTTGAGTGATCCAAATCTTAGAATAGAGAGTCTTTTAAAACGACGCCGTCTTGTTTTAAAAGTCCTTCGATGATCGCGCTTCTGAATGTCCAGTGATTTTCTCATTCCATTTATTTATACTTATCTTCTCTCGAGATAAAATTGATAACTAAAATATGTTCGCCATCGCATCATCCTCACTTGATTGGTTAAATATTCTCTAGAGACTATTTTAAAAGGTTTTTTTTCTTATGCCCACGGCAAACATTTCTCTGCACACTTCTTTTGCCGAATTACTCGCGAAAGTCTCTCTCAAAATTGTCACATTTTTGTGTATTTCCAATTTTTTCATAATCATTTTCCCTTCTTTCTTTCTTTTTTTTGTTTTTGGTGAGAAAAGTCCATAAATTTATCCCTCACACACACACACTTCGCGGCGCCGCGCTCTCAATTCCCATCGGCCACAATCTCAATGTTCCCGTCGCTGCTGTCGTTGGGCTCCGCGAAGAGCTCCCGCAGCGACTTGTGCAGCACATTGAGACACTCATTGAAGTAGAAGCTCGCCGCCTTAGGCGATATGCAGAACTGATAGGCGAGAAAGGTGAGCGGCAGCTTGAGGCGCAACTTGAGGAGGGTGAGAATGAAGATTTCGAACTTGGTCAGCGCCGTGGATTGCGGCAATTCCGCCTCGCACGTGTTGTACAGCGTGATCATCGTGACATACGAGTCCAGACCCGTAAAGTACTCCGTCCGCTTGTCGTCATTCTCAAACATCTCCGGCGTGTACTTGCACTTGCGCATCTGCTCCTCCAGCTGCATAATCTTCATCTGGCTCTCATTGTGCAGCACCTCATACTGCTCCAGCAGCTCCCCCGTCACGTCCGTCTGCGTGGCGCGCTCCATCTTGTTGCGCACCAGCCGCACAATCTTCGGCATGCCCGTCACGCTGTCCTTCTGCTGCAGCACAAAGTTGCCCAGCGTGCGCGCCGGCACCGGCTTGAAGCGCTTGAGGTCCATGGGCAGCTTCACCACCACCGGCGACGTGTCGATCTTCCGCTTGATCGTCGTCTGGCCCTGCACGTGCGAGAACTTGAACGTGGAGTCCGCCTTCGGCACCACCGTCACCGTGCGCGGCGACTGCAGCATCTTCTGCGTCACGATGATGGGGTTCGTCTTCGTGCCCGCCGGCGTCACTTTGTACTCCTTGCGCCCCGAGAAGGCCGCCGCCGTCACCGGCGTCACTGTGATCTTCTTGATCGTCGTCGTCGTCGGCAGCACCGGCGGGCGCGTCGTCACGACCACCGTGGGCGCCGGATTGGACTCCAGCACGATCTCCTCGTGCTCCTCGTCCTCCATCATCTCCACCGACGACATCGTCTTCTCGCCCGAGTCGTCCGTGGGCTCCTCCTCCTCGTACTGCACATCGGAGATGATCTGCAAGCGATCGCACAGAGGGTCAGAAGGTCACAATAGTATTTGCGGGCGATAAGAGGGAAAATTGCAACATCAGAAGCTCTAAGTGTGCCAAATTCGTGGGAAATGTGAAATCATTCTGTGTGTGCATTTCTTTTGTGTTTGTTTGCAGCAATTATTTCTTTTTTTATCAAATAAGCACATGTCAGATTATAAACATTATCTTATGAAAATGAAATATTTATCATAGCGTCTTTTTTCGCATTATTTCCGGCAAAAGCCATGAAGAAACACACACACTTTGAATAACTCACGGAAAGCCACAAAATTCTTCCAATCTCACCTGCTCATCAGCCGATGATCCATCGTCCGTGTGTTCCTGCTTGAAGACCATCCTGCCACTCCTCTTTTCACTAATGTTCATGATGAGCACCCAACCAGATGCTTCCTGTAGACGCTTTCCTCAAACTCGTGCTCCTCTCTTTGCCTGTCCCGGAAAGAAAACCACAGAGATAATAGACGCTACAACACCCAGACATTCTCCTCCAACTCACCCACTCTCCTGACCACCGCCTCGATCAAGTGGCGCCACGCGAAAGCTCCTTGAGATCCTCTGAAACCTTTTCCACCAACTTTTCCTCTACCTGCAAATCACTCGAGTCCCGCAGAACGTGAAGTGTGGCCGCTTGTGAAGTCACGATATAGCGCCACACCATTGTCCGGTGGCCCCCACTTCAGTCCGCCCCGGTGGGCATTCACGGGAATGCAAGAGTCTCCCGGAAAATCACTGTTTTCCACGAAAAGCCATCAGCTGTTTGAATTGTATCGACTCCGTGACGTCACGGCAGCCATTACGCTTCCACTGGAGGACAATTCAAGGTAGGCTTTTTGCACCTTTTTCACCCACTAGCGACACTCCACCCGGCAATATTGGGCCGAAAGAAGACTCTCAAGGGTGCACTTGATGGTTTAGTGGCAATCCGGCACAGGAAAGTGTGGCTTTTCCTGTGTTTTCAGGCAAAAGAAATTGCGAGCGAAGCCCTCAGAGCATTCGCGTCACGCTGCAGTTGATTTTGTGCCTGCCTGGTGGCGCTGATGTCGGGGAGTGGCCCGAGTTTCGCGCTTGAGTCCACACGTGGCGCTAGCGCCGCACCGGAAGAATGATTGGGCGGGAAAATTCTTCACATCTCTCTAAATGCCTTTATTTTTACGAATCGCTGTGGTAAACACTAAATATCTTTGGGAACATTTGACTAGAGATCGTTTGTTAATGGAGTATTCAGGGGGATTGACTAGCCTATTTGCGGTAGAACGACGAGAATCCTGTGGTGGCTGAGTGGGAGTTGATGAGTGAGTCCGACGACACGGTGTACGTGGGAATGGAGGAGGTCATCTCGAAGTGCTCAGTCTCGAATGCGTAGTCTCGGGGCGGCTGGGGCGCCGGGCGCTCCTCCGCCGATTGCGAATTATTGTTGGCCGCGCGCTGCTGGGCCGCGATGGGCGTCTTCTTGATGGTGAAGATGTAAATGCCGCTCATGGCCAGGAGATAGTTGAGGAAGTAGAGACCGTGGAACTGCGAGAGCGACAATGAGAGAGAGCAGGGGAGGAGAAGAGGGTTAGAATACTCACGCGGAATTTGTAGAGAACCATCCCGATGATGAGCGAGAAGAAGTCCGAGGTGAGCAAGTAAAGCTGGATCGCCGTGGCGCCCGAGTGGCGCAGCACGTAGGGAATGAGGGAGTAGAAGACGAACTGCGTGACTCCGTAGGCTGCCAAGTAGATGAGGATCGTCTTGTCCTCCCAATTGACGTCCACGAGGGCGTTGCGCTCCAGCAGGTACATCTGGATGCCGCAGATTATGCTCCCGGACAGTCCCAGCATGCCCAAGTACTCCACGCAGTCCAGCGTCTTCACGACCAGCTCCTGCAGCACGACCACCACGGCGAAGAGCACGGCGCCGCCCAGGCAGAGCATGTCGCCCACCAGCTGGCTCTGCTGCGCGTCCCCGGTGGCTTTCGTGGCCCCCACGCCGGCCCACACCAGGCAGCCGACGCCCATGAGGCACACGGACACGCCCACGATGTGCACGAAGCGGAACCGCACGCCCAGCGTGAGGCAGCTGAGCGCCAGCGCGATGGGCAGCGCCACGCAGTCCAGCAACTGGATGCTCACGAGCGTCGTGAACTGGTACGACGTGGCCAGCAGCGTGTTGGCCTGCACGTCGATGAAGCCCAGCAGGATGTAGCGGTAGCCGCGCGCCTTGGCCACGGAGATCAGCCCCTTGTCGCCGCGGCGGCACGCCAGCCACGTCGTGAAGACGGCACAGAGGAGAATGTAGTGCAGGTAGTTCTGCCCGGTGGGAATGGCCAAGTGCAGGTTCACGGTGAAGTGATGGGAGAAGAATGCGAGCACGGAGCACAGCACTGAGCACACCTGGCCGATCAGGATGGTCCGCCAGACGCTCCTGGGGAGACACCAAAGTGACCCATTGAGCACCACTCCCTGTTGGCAAACAAAGATAGCGCCAAGAAACTCACCAATGTCGATATTCTGCCAGATATTTCTCCATGCTGTCCATCGCACACTCGTCAGTCTTCATTTCTGCATGCTCCACAGGTAGAAAATGCGCGTTTTTCCGCCCTTTTCGTCAATTTTTCACATTCTCTGCGAAAAGGAAAACAACACCCACAACAAAAACAAATGACGTATGCTGTCAGTTTTTTACAGTGGCACCGCCGTTGCAAAAATCTAGTACAATTATCCGCCAAAATCAGCCAAAAAAGTGGTTGCGAAGTAATTTGAAGGTGTTTTGTTATCTTATCACGGTCATTGCTCAATCATTAAAGTAATTAGTGGAGAAAAACTTCCAAAAACCGGCTGGAAGTTTTATTTCATGATATGAAAAATGCTGTGTTTAGTCAGTTCTTTTCGTGATGGCGCTACTAGTCACTAAAGATTTCCTTTCAAATGTCAACCAACAGCAACGGAAATTATGAGTTAATATATTTATTTTCTTTATTCTCAAATACAACTACTCCTTCTGATATTCGCGTAAGAATTCTGGGCAGATTGACGCGGAGGCTGTGGTGAAATCTCAATGAAGTGCTGTGCGCGGTGTTATCACTCGTGTAAATGAAGAGAAATACCGCGAAAAATAATTACTCGCATAATGTTTCTGGGCACGTTTTCGGGTGGAACAAAGCGCCACAATGCGGTTTGGTATTTGCTAATTGTGATGTTGCATCTCGTGGTCCCAATAAATCGCAATCAGCATTCATCGCATGAATGACAATCCGCTGATTGCGCGTCCCGAACCACTCTTCTGGTGGTCGCGACCGCGCCAGGGACAAAAAAAAGTCCCGCGGAGTCTCATTGAATTTCCTTTGGATTATCTCTCTCTCGTGTCTGATTCACGAGCACGCGGCGGCTGACTTGGAGGCGTCGCCGGAGATGAATGGACCAAGTGTGGGGGACACGGAAAGATTTTATCGACTGGCCATTTATCTTTCGGTGCCACTGTTCGCGGAGACTCGGATTGGGTCATTAATATCTGAAAGAAAATGAAAAAGACAAGTGCTAAAACACGAAACTCTCCAGCAGGGATGATGGGCAATCAGATCAATTTCTTCCTTTTCGAGGGGATTTTCAATTACACTCGTTAGAGGGAAGGAAAAATTACGCTTACCGATTTTACTGAGGAGTTCATTGCCTTCTGCTGTCGCTTAATGTTCGGACAATTCGATGGTGAGACATCAAAAAGATCGATGACCATAATTTTTATGGCAAAGTGTCCTCGCTAAATATCAAGAAATCAAAATATCAATTAACTTAAAATCGCTTGAAAAAGGATAATTGAAGTAACTAAAAATACAAAACCTGAGCGTGTTATCCTTGTCTTTTATTAGCGTTGAAGTGATTGAAGTTATCTATACTTATAGTCAATTATCGATACGAATAATTCGATAGGAAAAATAGTTAAAATTGACAATTTAAGAACTAATTAGTGAGAATAATGCGGTCGATATGATCTATTTTTCCCCAAAATCATGTTAAAAACTGAAATTACACGCATTTTGTATTGATAAGAGTCAATAAAAGTCGATAACTCCAACAACTTTAATGTGAAAAGGGGAAAATTGGACTTTAAGCTAAAGCAAGAGTTCAGAGGCAAGATGTTATTTTAGTGACATGATAATTGAGAAATATTGAATCACAAGATAAATTTTTAAAGTCCTTCGACAAGTCTTCAAAAAATTTCGCTTCATTTGAGTGTCCAATGCAATTTGTGAATTGAAAAATCAATCAACCCTCAATTGACTTGGGGAAAGCAATGAGTCTCTCGAAGAATTGTGCCACGGGGTTTCGCTGGCTGAGCGGAAAACGAATGCCATTCTGATGCACCTCTCACCTCCCGCACAGTCAGTCAATCCCGGGGAAAAATGGCTCGCGAGGGGTGCAGGCGGGATGCAGAAGAGTCTCTGGAGGACGCCAGGAGGATGCTGTTCGGTGCTCTAATGTGTTTTCCGTGTAATTCACATGTTCATCGCAGACTCATCTGAGAGCGAGACGTGAGCAAAAACCAAACCGAATAATTTCTATTAGTTCCTCCTTCGCCCCGAACGCCACCCACTATTCCGGCGATGAGTGTTAACTTGGTGTGATCTCGTTTTTGGACCGCTTTCCCGCACCCCCAGGGCGCGTGGGTGTCGCTGAGATGGCGAAGCGCCCGGCATTTCCTCCAAAAACCGTCAGTCTCTGAACTGAATTTATTCGATTTTTCATTGCCACTGACAATTCATTTCTCTATTTTTTGCAGTTGCACCATTCGACAGGGACGAACAGAAAAAGCGCATGGACAAGGGGAAATTCACTAGCCGATTTTTGAGGAATCTTAATGGACTCAATGAAATATTTGAATATCAATTTGTATTTTGCATGTAATAAATCAAAAATTGATTTATTTAAATATTTTGCCGAAAATATTCAAACTATAGGTATTTTCTAAATATTAAATAGAAAATTAAATACATTCAAGTATATTATTATTTTCTCCGCATATGGCCGTCAGAGGGCAGCAAAGTTGGCGTGAGGGAAGCTAATAATATCACATTTATCGCATAGTTTTCTCTCTCTTCTAATGCATTCTCATACTTTATAATTTGTGGAGCAAATAATAAAAAAAAATGGAAAAAATGATTAAATAATGATAAACTGGTTTAAAATCGCGAGTGATTTTCCCCTTGTGTGTGATTTTTGTTTTTGCGACAAAAAGAAGTCAAGAGATTTATTTATTTCCAAATAGAGAAAACAGCCAAAGTTCAAATTGATTGCAATTTCTGGGTTGACAAAAATTCACATACACACAAAACAGAAAAATGCATATAATTTGCATTTGACGAAAAGTGAGGAAGGAGAAAAAGAGAGTGAAAAATTCACCCGAAACATCATTCACGGACTGTTGTAATTAAATGGATATTATGCGATGATGAAATTGAAATTACCATCTCCAGAGTGAACAGAGTGAAAAATGGCGGGAAAAGTTTATTTTATTAGCCAAATTCGAAGCATTCTCGTCAGCGCAATTCTTTTTTTCTTCTTCCCTCCAGCAAATTGAGAGAGTGTCGGTAATGTTAGTTTGCGAGTAATGTTGATTAAAAGTTTGACTTTAGTGTGGGAGAAAACAATGAAAATTTCTCTTTCATGGGAATTTGCAGTGTTTTTTCTCTAGTCCTCTTGCTTGATGGATCATCTCATCCTTCTCCCCTTCCCCTGTTTTGGGTGCTCGGGAAAAGCAAGTCAAAAATGTAGGCAGAGAACTTATAAACAATCTCTCGACACGTGATACATGGCAAAATACAATGATGAATGGCGTAGAAGTCAAAATGTTGTATTGCGGCTTTGATTTGAGCATGATATGCAAATTCGTCGGTGTGTCTAATGTACGCCGCTTGCACTATTTATCATGTGTGTGTTTATAATTTTCCCCGGGAGTTAATAAGTGCCCATTAGAGTGAATGATGGGGCACAATTGGGTGTCAGAGGAGGCTTTTGAGGACTCGCTCGCAGTTCAACTTCCGACCACCGAATGCTTGTAATCACCTCTAGTTTTACAATATCAACACACAAAAGCCGATGGCGGGGGGCATTTCTTGCATATTAATTCCCCTGTGCCGCCCCGGGGTCACGGGGTCGCGCGGGCATTTTTCACCGGGACTCCTTGGCATGCTTTTGTCTGGCGCGGGGCGGAAGGAAAAATGCGCAGAGAGAGAGAGAGAGAGAAATTATGCACAAAAGACGCGAGCATGGTATAAAAGTGAGGAAGTAAGGAGGAAATCCATTGAACTCGATATAATTAAAGCTGAGCCTTTGCTGGTACGAACTCTGTGGCTCTCATTGTTTCATCCGCACCCCATCTTTGTGCAAGACTTTTATCACCATCTCTCCTCGGCGGCGAAATAAAACCCACGGCGAGAGAATGAAGTTCACATCAGTATTATTTAATTAATGGTTGATACTTTGCACTGACACCTCCAACAATGCCATTCACCAGGAGTTCCTCCCACCCCCTCAAATCGCCACCCCCAGAGCGCGGCACACAATTCGCCTCTGCCATTCAACATGCACCAAAGCTCAGCCCCGCGCTGCGAAATATGACAAAACTTCTTTCACAACACATTGCTATTATTTATTTATTTACACTGGCTGTCGTCGCTTCACCGAGGAGTATAAAATTGTCAGTGTTAACCCAGCCAAGAAGGAGGTTTTTCGTGGCGCGCGCGAAACAAAAGGGATGCAAATTACTTCATGCACAACCATAACTTATTTTCACCCAGAGTATTTTGTTCTTCTTATTTGTACTTCATGATTCGCAGTCGCCATGAAAGGGTTAAGTTTGAAGTCTTTTAGTGTGGATTGAAAAGCTAATAAACAAGTAGTTTTTGTGCTCAGCCTCTGTGCAGAATTTTTAACACTTCAGAACGTCTTTAAAGGCATTTTCTATCGCTTTTAGACTCTTTCTACTGTTTCTTGCGCACATTTCTAATTTATTACCTTGTTTCTTACACTGTAATTCATTTTTTTGTCCCAGGAGGTTTAAAAACCGACTTAAAAACTTCCCTGAACTAATCCTTTTTAACCTGAAAATACAGTAAATTTAAGGAATATCACAATGTTTCTACTGAATAATAAAGTACAAACCGCGGAAATAACTAAGCAAAAAGACATTTTATCACACTGAAATGATATTTTTGAGGTTATGTTTGACCTTAAAACTGGTTTTCACTTTCAAAATTTAACCAATTTGAAGTTTTCTGAACACAAATACTGAAATGTGTCAAGAAGAAGAGAAATATTATAGATTAAACACAAATTTGATGATTTAGAGGGTAATTTAATCAATCACATAACCTCAAAAAGTAGTAAAATTGATTTTTCTAGGTAAAAAAAAACTTAGAAAATGAATAAATTTGTTGAAACAGAAGTTTTTGCAGCACAAATATTCTATATATTTAACCACTTCCAATTCCCAACACTTCTGCAAATGCTGTACACCACTTCCGATCATAATATCTGCCCCTTGATTGTGTCTTGATATAAACAATATCTTGTTTTACTGCCGATAAAGAGTTAATATCAGTGGCAAAGTCCATTTTCCACCTTTGTGGAACTCGCGTGGCTGCCGTCATAAAATTTAATGACAATTT